GCTGAACTGATAGGTATGTGGTATATCTTCCTTATTACTGCCTGTTGGAGACTACTCTGTGTGACAACGGCCCAGATGTGCTGGAAAACAACTGGACTGCACGCAGTCTCCTATACTCCATTTCCCAGAGAAGCAAGCCAAGTACCATGGAGTGAAGGTGCCCTGTGTCCTACGGAATAGCTTACATGCTATGCTTTGTGTTTCCAAGTAAATCTGTAACTTCCTTCTTAAAGATGTTCTTGATTGTGTAGAAAACCTGCTGTTTGTATGTTCATCCTTTCCTGTCCACTGTACATTTACAGAATTTCCCATTGTAAATATGTATGGTAAAACTTGCTGAGAAAAGGTCACCTATTTACTTCAAAGTACTATATTGTTTGTAATATGATCTTTCACACAAAAAATACAGAGCACAAGACAAAGTTATATTTAGTTCTCTGGAATCCCCAGTCCCACCTCTTTGCTAAATTTACTTTGACTACGAGTCTTTTAATAACGTGTACCACTCTGCATTTCTAAGTCCATGGCGACTGCCTGTGCACATTCTACCAATGGTAAAAAAATGTCCAAAGTTAACAAACCTGCTTGTTTGTTTATATATACACACATAAACGCACATTATATATATATAAAGCTGTAAAATCCATGCAATACGTAAACCGATATATACATCTGTATATTTGAAATATAGTACTATGCACTATTAGAAAAATATATCTTTAAGCTACAAATTTATTTTAGATATGAAATTCAAAGTAGTGCCTCATGTAGCCTACAAACTTCTATCAGGAACTTCCTTCCAGCTATGTCATGTCACAAATATTTACAGCATACTTATTAAGGCTGGCCACTGGACAGCTTAAAATTTTAAATACCTCAGAGGTATTATTATTTAGTACTTTAAAAAAATCATCATCACTACGGGAAAAACAACTCACACAGAGCCCTCATCCTATGGTCACTGAGTCTGCACGCTATTCATGCTGAAATGGAACAAAGCTTTAAAAAAAATTTAAGAGCTTGTCATCCTTTTTTTTTTTTTCTCCCACTACTAAGACCTAAAGGAAAGACCCTATAATTGGTTCATTGTTCTTTACTAGTTTTTCAGTTAGATGTGGACAATTAGTTAGAACACTAGAATGTGGGAATCAATTGGCAGTCAAGTCTTTAACTGTGACATGTAATAGGAAAAACAATTAGCAAGTTTATGACTTACATTTTTTGTTTACAGTTGGAGAGCCTATACTAAATAAGTTTAGTTTTGATTACAAGTAGGTATTTAGATGGAAAAATGTGAATATCTACAGTATATTTGAATTTGCATAAGCTTGCCATATTTCAGATAGGAAAGTTATTGTCAGATATCTACAAGTGAATTAGCTTTGAGAAAAGAATCGAATACCAAAAAAAAAAGGAGAGTAATGAACGCACAGCTGGGAAAGCACGGTGCATGCACACAAGCACATGTGTTCGTTTCAGTATTAAATTATTAACTTGCATTGTTCTAAGGCAAACCAGAAGGATTATCTGTGAATACGGACCCTCGCCTTGCAGTACTAAACAATTCCTGGGAAGGAGAAGATGGAGCGCACTGAGAAGTTCTGCTCACCTCTTTGGCTATGGTGGTGATGAAGGCGGGTGGTCTGGCCGTGGCAATGAGTGAGAGCGCATGCCTTGCAGAACGGGCGGAGTCAGCTGCTGGGCTCAGAGGCAGCCCCATTGTGATGCTAACCAGGGATCAGGAAAAAAGGAAAAGAGAAAAGAAGCATTAGAAATATAGACTGAAAAGATTAGACACAGCTTATAATGTCAGTTCAAGGTCAACGGGAGCACTCAAACAGTTAGAATATAATGGACTTGCAACAATGAGCAGTGATTAGGAGTCAGGGTGTTCTGGCATCAAATACAAAATCGAATAATTAACCGTGAAGATTGAAAACAGTATGTGCATCTGTCCAAAGTGTTAAAAACGCCTTGTTAACAAATTATCAAGAACTAGTACTGAATACATATCACAAAGCTCAGAACAAGGCAAGAAAAGATGTCGTGCAAAGTATTTTCAAATTTTTTCCTAAAAATAGTTTAAGGTTCTTTTTCTGAAAGTGAGTAAAATTTATTTTTATCTATGAAATGAACAAAATAACTCAGAATGCTAAAATTATTTTCAGCTTATATAATATGTCTAGTTTGAAATGTCCTCGGTGGTGCCAGTTTCCTCCACGTTTAGTACTTTTAGAACTAATCTAATCGCCATGCTTGTCAGTAGTTATTCAGTATTAATGCAAAAATGGTACTACCTGATACTAATTCTCTTTATATAAGGGAGAGATGGCATGACATTATTTGGGGTATTTATTTATAAGACTATGTATACAATAAATACATCTTCCCAAACTTCCCATCGTCTTTGAGAATACAAAGAAGGATAATGGAATGATATTCATTCCCCACCTCTTATCCAAGAGAAATGATATTCTTCTCCCTAACCTCCCTTTATATTACACATAAACTACTGTGAAAAGTACTAAGATTTCTGACTAAAATGTGACATATGACCTGCACATTAACTGTATACCAGAAGTACTTTTGATACTCAATATGAGATCCAAATATAATTTCTTCAGTTAAATATTTTTTATATCTAAGTATTCATGTGACAATACCTCAAGATTTATACTACTCCAAATAAATAAGCCTACATGTTCATGTATAAACTGCAATAAGTTTACTAAAAGTCTCAAATTTATAAGTATGTCTATCATTGCTCTATGAATTATTATTTTATTTTATTTATTTGTTTTCAGTTTTTGTTATTCAGTATTTGCACTTACTGGAGACAGAGAAAAAAGGAAAGTGAGAAATCACTCCCAGGGAGGATGGCGACACTGCAATCCCCTCTCCTCCATACTTCTCAGGATTTGGGGCATACACACACTCACACGAATGCACCTGACATGTTCCTCGAGCTGCCAGGTCCTGAACTCAAACCGCTCAGTTGGTCATGTGGGGTCTAGCACCTTAACCTCTGTACCACCGCTGGCCGAGAAAGCATTATTTTAGATTTTGGTTGAAAATAACAATGTATTATATAGGCATTGTTATTCCTAAAGGAGGTAAACTGATTATACAAAATTCTGTTCATAATTTTTTGTGACTATTATACAGCTTCAATCTGTGACTGACAATATAACTGTCTCTCTTCTTTTTCTAAGTCGAGTACAGACATAAAGCAGGAACTCAGAGGAAAGGAATATGGAGAGTCTTTGATGTTTACCAACTAAAGAAAGATGTGAGCTGAGAGAACACACATACATACTGGAAAAAACAAACAAACAAACAAACAAACAGTACACTGGTGGGCGTGGCACACCCCCAAGGAAGAGCTGAAAACCACTGCTGCTCAGTAGGAGCTGGAGAGAGGGGTTGTGCAGGAAGGCAAGATGGGCAGTTGGCCAGTTTCTTACCTGGATTGAATTTTTTTATTGCAAATTCAGCAAGAGAAGTGTTTGCTCTGAGTAGTGTTAGAGTAAATTGCTTAGTAATTATTGTAAAACTTGGATTTTATATCCATGTTTTATGTGAAGTTTTGAAAAAATTCAAAAATGAATTGAAGTTTTGGATAACTATAATGGTCCCCTTCTTACATTAACGTGTATAAATAGGGACTTGTGATACTTAAAGACTGAAACAAACAGAAATGGTATGTTAATTGAACTATTCTGTACAAACGTAAATCAAATTTATTAGATCAGTAAAATCACAGAATGTTAAAGCTGAAAAAGATTCTCTAGGCAACATCCCTGATAAGTAGTTAGCCAGGAAAAAGAAATGTCTATCTCCTGGGCAACCCATCCACATCTGGAAGGCATGATATTGAGAAGGAGGAACTGGACATAGAACACTATAGTCTAGGTTGGAAGCCAGGCTTTCCTGCACTATTTCACATCTTCTCACATCTGCCCCACAACATTCCCATGAGGAACATAATACAGGCATCTTACAAATGAGAACTCAGTTTAAGTGAGGAGCCAAGCTAGAACTGCAACATCTTTTCAGGAGAGATATTTTGGAGAAAACAATGGAGGAAGAAACATGACAATACTATGGCTAATTAGATTAATGGATCTGCAACATGACAAACTCAATGGCTTTGGAAGAATGGCTAGATTGCATCCCTGAGCTAGAACTACAACATCTTTTCAGGAAAGATATTTTGGAGAAAACAATTAGATTAATGGATCTGCAACATGACAAACTCAATGGCTTTGGAAGAATGGCTAGATTGCATCCCTGAGGTTTTCAGTGATATGCGGTAATGCTTGGACTTCAGCTGTTTCATTCGATATCAATAGTGGTCTAAAAGAAGACATGAGATTGGTGTAAATAAGACAACCATATTAAGCCACAGAACTGGAAACCACAAAGTCCTCAAAAGATCAAATTCAGCTAAGTAAGAAGTCTCAGGTGTGGGTACAAAAATGGTCAACTTTACAGATATGGGGTAGATGATAAACTTCTGAACCAAGCTTGTGAACTATTGAGGGTTATGTCTGAGACAGAAATATGTATGTTAGGGGCATGGCTATCAAAAGAGCTGAGTTATAGCAAAAGAAATAAAATGATAAGGAAAGTGTTACTCCTGCTATACGTCATGGCTCTGGGTGCCTGTTCTCCCTCTCCAAGGTAGGAAGGAGTTGGCTTCGGCAAGGTAAGTGTTAGCATCCTCCTGAAGCCCATGAAAGTCAAGTCTAACCCCAGCTGTGGACTGGTGGGACACTGCTGTTAGAAACCAGCATTTGCACATAAACAGGACCTCAGCAATCTCACCAACCACCTCTAAGTACTCCTTCTCACCCTTCTCTGTTCTTTGCAATGGAGAAGAAATGTCTCATGGAAGGCTGACAAAGAGAATGAGCTTCAATGAAAGCGAATGTGTATGCAGATCTGAGGGTGGGACCACTCAGCTGGCATACATTCAGGGCTCATACCCGGTGATGAATGGATACTTTGGCCTTTACTGTTCTGTTGTGTCCCGGGGCTACCTGAGACTGAGTAAGGACATCCAGCAAGCAAGAGTGGGAAGGATGTGGGTGTGAGAGCAAAAAGGTGGCCAAGCCATAGGAGAAAAAAAGAAACCTCATGTCTCTCCTTTAGCGTGTTCAATACTCACCAGCAGAGTAGTCTTTCAAAAGCACTAACTTTCTCTCATGGTTACCCTGCTAAAAGGCTCCAGTGGCTCTCTACCACTTCTAAGAAAATCCTAAACTCCTTGGTTTGAGGTTACAGACCTACATCATCTAGTCTCATTGATTTTCAACTCAGTCTTTTTAACACCAATGCTCCTGAGGCCAGGCTAATCTCACAGTGGGCTCCTACAGTTCCGTTCATTCATTATTTTGCTAATGCTTCCCCTCTACCTCTCTGCTTACCAAAATACACTCTCCTCCTTCGCCTCTGCTCAACTCTCATGTTTCCCATATGGTATTCCGAAATTGCAACAGCACTCAATTTTTCTATTATTGAAGCAAAAACAACCAACAAAAAACATTTATTCTGAGTCTTTAGTACTAAACCACATCCTATCGCGCCTTATGAGCTAGTTTTGTACTGTAAACACTGCGGATTTGGGAAATGACTTTTAATTTGTGCATCTCCCCTGAAGTACCTAGTACAGCCCTTGGACATAATAGTAGCTCAATAGTTATTCACTAAATAAAGTTAGCTCGCAAATTCAGCAGG